AACACATTTACTGAGTGTCAAAGGCCCACCCACCTGCCCTGAGCAGACATGTTTTAGAGTTTGAGGGAACTTCAACCAGGGAACTTCAAACTGTATGTTTAGAGGACATTTATGTTTTATATACCCAAATTGGATGTACGAGAACACTCAGAGCTGAGTTAAAGTAAGCAGATCTGGTTGACATTCAAGGGAATTTAACATATAACAACAGAGACAGTCCTAGGTCCTCTTCAAGGATGCAGAGTTAGGAATAAACTGTCCGCCAAGATTGAGAGAATTTGTGCTAAAGGAAGAGTTTGGTTTAAAGGCCAGTGCAGAAAAATCCATTGCATTAATCAAATTCTTGTCTTTGGTGGTTCCTCTGACTAAAGAGGCATAACAAATGAAAAGGTCTGGACTCTTTACAGTGTTTCTCTGTCTTATGCAATGCCCCCCCCTGCTCCAAATACCTGAAGTTATCACAAAACGTTGGCTGCACTTCGTACCATAGGCCACACTGGCCAACCGGTTGCTTTTACGAAGCTACTGACACACACTGACAAAAGCATCAGACTAGAGCTTGCTGCCTCTTTAAATGCCTCTTTGCTGATGCAAAGAGGCATTTAAAACTGCTGTTGTTTTTCACTGCAGAGAACTGAAGGAATGATTGCCAAGACATACAAGGCTACTGTCTGACATGTAGGAGCCTCCTGAGAAGGGACTTGCCGAATAAAATAGTCTTCCATAAACATAGGAAGTGGTCTTTAATCATTAACCCTGCAGGTGCCCTACTATACATAATACTGAAGCAAGTTGGCTTTCATATTGAAATCCTCTCCCATTTGTTTTCTATTGACTCTTCTGACTAACCCGTGCATGACAAAAACAAACATGTTCCTCTGATATGAATTGTTTTTTTGAGAGGACAAGTCATCTTACAAGTGTGTTCAATAGTGTCTCTTCATAATTTCAATTAATTTTAACTTTGTCTTGTGTTTTTCCACCAGGCCAAGCTTTAAGATCAGGGTCACATCAATCAGGGTTAAGATCAGGCTTGAGTGAATCAGTAATGAGTGAGCTATCAGGACACATTATGAAAGACTCTGGCTGGATCAATTAAACAAAGAGTATACAGATATAAATGCAATGTGGTGATTTTTGACACTGCATCAACTATTACCTCACTAGTTTATTTTTTAAGCAATAATTTTTGTTCCCTCAGCGCTGTAGTTACATTTTGGGCCACTGCACTCTGAATGTGTCACTCTGTCTGATTGTGTTTCCTTGGGAAAAGAGGTCCCTTGCTGCTCCAGAACAATTATTCCACAGTGCACTCTGTAATTATACTATTATGTAGAATTATTCTCATCATCTGCATGCATCATCAATCATAACTGCACAATTTCTAAATGCGTTTATTGCTACACTAGGCCAAACAAAGACAACAAAAAAGCTATTCACAAGATGTTCCAGTATCCAGTATGTACAATACTTCAGCATACATTTTGAACAATATCAATATACTCTTAATGATTATCAGATGTTTGCCCAATAACCTTGTCTATTATTAGTTGATACAGCGAATTGTGTGATATTAAACAAAGAACAGGTGAATCAAAGCCAAACCAAGACTATTTTCATGACAGTTTATTTTGTATATCCTGCTACTTATTACCTTACTGTACAGTATCTCTATGACAGACCTGTTAATGTATCAATATGATTTTTATCCTGACAACAAACAGTATTAAACAAAATACTTTAACCAGTAAAAGCAAAGCAAACAAACAGGCCAGCATAAGATGGGAGTCACCAGGCCTCCCCTGAAGAACTCCGTTGGAAGGTAATTAAAAGAAGAGTGCGTTATCCATCGCTCCTCATTAATGCATTATGAATTAACCACTTTCAGGGAAGAGGAATAGGGAGGAGGGGACAAGGGAGAAAATCCATGCAGGCCTTAAAGTAATCTCTCTCTGTCAGGTTGGTCCAAACGGGGAGGGTCGGCTCATTACGGCCCCACAGGAGATGAATGGGTCAGTCAGGCAGTGAGGAGAGCCAGGCTGGACCACTGTGTTGACAGACAGATCCACACAAGAGGTGTGTGTGCATGTGGGTGTAAGGCAGTCAACAGACAACGAACAACAGAGCCAAACACTTAGCTATATGTGCTATCTCTGCCAGGGAGCAGGTGTGCAGAAGGAGGTTGCATGCTGGGATACAAGGCAGAGTTAAGACACTAATTTCTAGACTCAACAATCATTGTGATTTAACTTTGACCACATGGAGGGGTGAATGTCACATCTGGCCAGCTGAGGCAATTATCACAGACAGGGACTACTTATAGCTTTAAGAAAATTCTGTTGATCGAATTGATTGCATTTTTATAAAATTACTGAACTGAAATTCATGTGTATCCTACATTGTAATAAAACCTCATAGACCCAAAATAATTAAATGTGTTCCTGCATTTGCCACCAGATGGTGATGTAGTCTTTTGTCTCTTGAGGTAGAGGCAGCTGACACTTCCACTTTATTTTATACTTCACTTATTTATTTTAATTGTGAGGTCATGGAGCTTTCTTGATTAATTTCATTTTATACATCTAAATTTCATATTACATTTCCACCAACCTCAGAGCAGGGACATTTGCCAACATTTGCATACCAATCAAAATTCCCTGATTCTAACACGTTTATTTAATATGTATGTGTTTGTTGGTCTGTGGTTTTATCTCACACATTAGTGGGTTGCTTTTGTATGCTGTCATGTTTACTTCATGTTAGTTTGGCCACTTTTGCATTTTTTAGTCCGATTTCCACAAATCTGAACAAAAAGTGCACAGAAAGTTAATCTCTGAGCAGCACAAGATGTAAATTCATTGATTCAGGGCTTCCAATGAAAGGGTTTGTGGGGTGCTAATATGGGAAGAGGGGTTAGATATGACTATATTAAATTAGATTAGACGATGAACTCTGTGAATAGACCAGCATAATGTGAATTGATATATCTGTTCATCATTTAGAGCAGTATAATGAGACTGTGGGGTTACTTGTTCATTAAAATCTATTGATTCATTTAATAAATTGGATTTAAACAATTACAGTATGTACCACATCACACACATCGAAGCATTTGTGTGTAATCACCAAGGGAAAAGCATTTGTAGCACATGGCGGCGCATGACATACACACACACACACACACACACCCACACACACACCATCTAGCATTTTGCTAACATTTTTCCTTTCCTCTGCTGTCATTTACATTAGAAAAACGCACTGTAGCACCAAGACTCTGGCTAATAGGTTTAGACGTCTTCCTAATTCAAGGACTTTGTAAGACAGCTCATTATTACCAGTGGCTTTTAAATGAAAGTAATACACCTTGAATAGGTCATCAGCATTGTAGGACAACAGTCTGAGCGGCTGCTAAATCAAATGTTATTCATTATGTTCATTATTGTTTTGTTTTTTTGGTCTCTAGTCCTGTGTATGGCGTCATAGACCTTCATCACTATGTCAGCTGTTATTAATTAAAGATAATTGCAGACCAGAGTTTCACACAGAGTCTCTGGTTGTATCATAAGAGTGTATGAACACTGACAGGATGATCATCATCTCTTACACTCAGCTATGTGTTTGACCTTTCTCAATGGCAGTGTGGACACACAATTAGTATCATCTAAATGAATTTGCTATGTCTCTACAAACCAAATTACATCACAGCCTCTTTCCTTCTCTCTCTCTCTTTCGCTCTCCAACTCTTTCTCACTTTTTCCTTTCCTATATCTACATTGTGGTCCTTTTTGTTCTCTGTGTTGTGCAATATATGATTCTCTTTTGTCATTAATACTGTGCTATGGAATAAAGTGCTAAAGAATAAACCCAACACCTCAACACCTCTGGACTAAATATGTCAGTATCTTTGAGTGCTTGAGTTGGTGTTACCACACTGTCTGTCTGTGCTGCTTGTATGAAGCAGCGGATCGAATTGGTTGATTAGCTTTTACTGCCAGAGTATCTGTCCATCTGCTCTGAACTCTTGGTTTAGAAAGACAGATCACAAAAACATTTCCATGATTTCTCTATTGCTCATGCCAACAACCAGTACAGGGAATCAGAAGTTGGCAATTTAACTGATTTATGCAGAAGCCACAAGACAGAGCAGGAGATCATAGGCAACATGAGGTACAGCTGGCTCCATGTTCAACAGTACAGAAGGTAGTCTACGCCCTGTGAGGCAATCCAATCACGATACACAATGGGAATTAACAACAATTTAATCCAACACTAGAGCTTTCAGAAAACGGGGTCTACAGGTATTAGACCTGTACCTCACAGGGGACTGAAGTGGCAACTTACACCAGTCACAAGCCAGCTTCTCTAAAATGTAGGCCACTGCTGCCTGTGATCCCTCACTGGCTTCCCATTCACAAACACTGCAAGATGCTGGTCCAGAGGCTTGACCAGGCTGCTGTTGGGAACTGTATCCAGGTCATTGCAAGGTATCAGCCCATATGTGACTTTATTATATCATTACAGGGGCAATCCCCATTAATCTACAGATAAAGTATTAATGGACAGATGCTCAAAGACATTCACATATAACATTAAGTTATTTTTTTTTATCAGATGTGAAATATGTTCAGTCTAAAAAGTTCACACGTGCTTTTTTTTGGTTAGGGATTCTAGATTTTTTTATTTTATGTTAGCTTAATTTTTCATGAATAAAGTGCCACCATGATGTAATAACCATCACACGATGCAATGGGCTAACTAAGAATCATCATGCTGCGCAACAATTTTATGAAATTTGGCAGGTTTACATTATGACTTTTAATGAGATTTCTTATTATGCGCAGTTATTATTAGTCCCTACACAGCCAAGCATATTTAAGTGTCCTAATGCCGGTAAGACTGACAGGGTTTCACACATGATTAAATTGACTGTAGAACGCACGGCTCAGTGTTTTTCAGTGACCCTCTGATGTAGGCCTGCCTGTCTGTCTGTGCTGCTATAAAAGCTGCCTCCTCTCAGTCAGCGCCGTTATTTCCCCTCTGCTTCAGGAAACACTTCACTCAGAGACGCACTTCAGTATGTCGGTGGCTCTACGCACACAGCTGTTCCTCTTCCTCATCTCCCTCTCATCAAGGATGGGGCTCAGTCGCTACATTGAGGTGAGACTTTTGATCATTAATCAATAATTCCACATTGCTTCACTTTATGTCAGACAAGTTAAAGTGAGGTCTATAAAGTTTCTCCGTGTACAGCTGGAACCTAGAAATTGACGTTTATTTCTATCATGTTTTTTTTTAATTCAGGACAACGAAGCTTCAGATGGATTATATTCTCTGCTCAGTTTGGACCAGAAAAGAGAATCAGAGGATTTTATTTTCCGTCGACCTCTCAGTAAGTGCAGCAGTAAACAATGGCTTTATTCAGTATCTGATTATGCTTAACATTGTTTACCGACTTAGCAAACAACAAATAAACCCTTTAATTAAAAGTGATGAATTGAAAGCATTCAGCAGAGAGATGTTCATTGCAGCTCTAGTGTCCAGGCATGTAGAACATATTTAATACTCTATCTACCAATCAGTCAACTAATCACTGAATAAATCCATGACTACATCTTTATTGCACATAATACTGCACCTGCATTGACTATAGGACATACTTAGTTTCATATTTCCCAAAGATGCACACAGCAAAATGTTAAAATGTCAGAAATGATCACAGTATTGATGTTTCGTGTAAGTCCACTTCTCTCAGAATGAATTAACACTTTAAAATAATTTAGGCACAAACTCCCCATAGCCACATCATCTCTACTGTATGAGTCGAAAAAGCAACTCTCCAGTCAACACTTGTTAATTAAACACTGGAAGACTTGTTATATTAGACCATAAAGCTGATTACCATCATACTTTGAGTTCATGACCATTTTTTATATCCCATTAAAGCCTCTGTGTTTGCTTGTGTTCAGGAACAGAGTGAAAAAGTGTTTTGTGAATCCCTTGTCTGTCATTATGAATAAAGAACGTGCGTGTGATTTGTAGGATGTTTGGACATGCTGGCCACTGATGGCTACTTCACCTTCGTGGCGTCTCAGCCTCAACTGGCCTGTGCTGCTTTCATCATCGCTGAGCCCAGTGAGGTCATCAGTCTGGAGCTGTCTGACGTCAATATTGACTGCAGCGCCGGAGACTTCATCAAGGTTGGCTCCACTCATCAAAAACAACACCCACACATCCCCAACCCCTCCGTGAGAGGAAGACAGGAAGTTCGGGGCTTTGCCATTTAAACTCTGAATTCTATTTCATCTGCTTCTGTTTGATTAAAATCCAAAAAGGGTTAAGGCAGCGTTTAAGGGCCAAACACCACACTGGATCCTCTCTGCATTGGTCACATTACCCAGAGCAAGTGTGGGAAGAGGAGGCTTTAGTTCTGAAGCCAAGCTTGCCAGTTACATGGCAGTTTCAGTCCTTGTGGGCCAAAGTGGTAAAAGGCACTGCAGAAAGAAAGACTGCTTAACTTTATGATAACGACTGGGTTTGCAGGGTGGTCAAGGTGTCATCTGGAAACCGAAACAGATGTTGTATGTGACCTGCACAGTTTCTTTTATTAGGAGAAAGATGCTTAAAACACCCAAACAGCACACTGCTTTGTTTTTCTGAATAAATGAATAATAAATAAATAAATTTACTGAATATTTATAGAACAAAATTCATGTTGGATTATGGTTGTAATTCAATATGATTCACAACACAGAACACAGCAGTGTAGATGGTGCGGCAAATCATATTGGACAAATAGCATTAGAAAATACACATTGCATAAAGTAATGTTGCCTTATTTATCTTTATCTTAATTAGCTATTACATATTTGTTATTCAAAGACAGTTATTGATCAACTCAGTCATTATACATGTACAACTGATGTACTCCGTCTATATTCTATTTCAAGTCAGCTACTATATATTCATCCTTTGGAAATGTAGTTTTATTTAAAATTTAGCTTAACAAATTTTCTTCTCTAACATGTTTACATCTGACTGTATGTATATAGGAAAAGTCTTTGCAACGTTTTTACCAGTCTTCCTACACAAAACTGATAGATTGTCATACTTTTGTCATAGTTCACTCCAGATTGTTTATTGCACAGAAAGTGGAATAAATAATCTACATCTTTGGCTTTATGTGCTCAAAACTTTCTATTGAATATATTTTCTTGTGAAAAACCTGGCAAAGTTTATATTTGCTCAAAATCATTTATATTTCCTCTACAGGTGTTTGACGGATGGGTTCTGAAGGGAGAGAAGTTCCCCAGCAGGCAGGACCACCAGCTCCCTCTACACCAGCGCTACACAGACTACTGCTCCTCCACAGCACCGGGAGCCACCAGCCGCTCCTCTCAGAACGTCGCCATGATCTTCTTCCGCATTCACAGCCCCGACAGCGGATTCACCCTTGCTGTCAAAAAGCTACACAACCCATTCCGTGAGACCTGCTTCATGTCCTTGAAGTCACTTGAGGGATAAAAAGTCTAAAATCAAAATAAACCGAAACAACATCCATGCAAATAAAACTAAATTGTAGGCAAAAAACGGACAGAAGAAGAAAAAAAATGTTAACAAGGACCCAGGCCAGGCATCTAAATTAGATTTGTGTTTTTTATTTCCAAATTGGTGTTTTAAATTAGGTCTAGACTTTATGGTACTTGCTTGTGTGCATGCATGTGTGTTCTTCCTGGTCATTTGCGCTTGGTCGAGCATTAATCAAGGCCGAGAGCGACAGGAAGAGATTGAATGAGAGGGATGCACCTGTTTTCCAGCTGCTTGACAAACACGGTGTTAACACTGTGTCAAGCAACATAACAATCACCAAGACAAAGACGGACAAAGAAAGAGCACTGACACAAAAAAGAGGAGTTTGAATGGATTATCTATAGGGAAACAGCATAAATCTCAGGCCAATGTGTGAGGTTTTACTGACCACAAACTGGCCCTTTATTTCATCTGATCACCAGTGTCTGCTGTGTCACAAGATGGCTCCGATTGGGTTAAACCGGCTATAAAATAGCATTCATATCTCTGTACATGCAATGATGTGCTATACCTATAATACATACATTAGCAACAGTAAATCTGTTATGTACCTCAATATGAAGGTAGACCCTTCTTGGCCAATAAATAACAAAAAATGCAGTAATGCCACGATGAGGGACACTAATATGTTTTATAAAAGTATAAAAGCTGATTTTATTTTTTTACTCATTCTGTTCTTTTGTCAATATGACTGTTTAGGTTCTAAAAGATACACATACACAAAAGAGTAAAGACATTAATCTACTCAAATCTTGCACTTGCAGAACAAATAACACTCCATATTATTTATTCTAACAATCTCTCCTCAGCTTTGATTGGCACGGCTCCTTCACCACGAAAATGTCTCTAAATGAACAACATGGCCACAGGAGTAAAGTGTTCCGACTCCTGTTGGTGTCTGTCTAGTCTACCATACTGTTATCAATTCAAATTTCATTATTTTCTTATCTTTGTCATCAGAACTGGTATTGGATTTTCATGCTCAGCCCTAATTGTGTCCCCTCCCCGCAGTCAGCCTTGATTATGTCCAATTTGTGACATGAGGTGTCAGTAATGAGTTTCTCTGGTGATGGGGGAACTGTTAATTCGAAACCTCTCCTCCTGTGTGTGTGTGTGTGTGTGTGTGTGTGTATGTGTAAAGCCTGCAACATCATGTCTCAGAGTCCAGAGGGCAGTTTCACCATGGTGATTCCACACCAGCGCAGGAACTGCAGTTTCTCCATCATCTACCCTGTGGAGATCCGACTGACCGAACTCAGCCTGGGGCAGGCCAAAAGCAATGAGCTCAGCCCACAGGTGAGACACACACACACACACACACACACACACAAAGACAGACAAACATCAAGTTATTTAACTTACTACTGAAAGCTTACAGAATTGTGGTTCTTTAAAGAGACAGTGGCCTCTACTCTAACCATGCCAGTGCCAAATGTCATGATGCATGTATTTGTCTGTGTACCAGCCATTGTAATAAAATGAGCCTTTATGTCATTACATCTTGACATAATCCTATTAAAAAATTTCAGTTCACCATTAAGATCCACCAGCCTCCGGTCAAAACTAATCCCATTTACCTACACATGAACTCTAATCGGAGGGGGAGTAGCCTGATTTCAGACCTCTTATTCTGCAGTTCACATAAGTCTGGTCCTGTGCTGACTGATGGCTGTTTCTAATCAGAGATTAGTAGGCATGATTAGAAGTCTGTTACTAAAGTGAAACAATATGACAGTTCAGTCTGATGATCAGACTATAGGTCTAGTATCATCTGGATCGTTATTATTTATCTACTTTTTTTTATTATGTTGGTGGTTTACATTATTTTAACATTTCTGCAATACTGTTTGCACTTTAAATATTTTCATAAAAACTCAGAAAGTAGGGGTTAAGTGACTTTATAGTGAGCCATTTATATAATGAACATTTTGAATATTTAAATTTTATTTATTGCTGTAAGATTTATCTATATTTTTTGACATATGCTTATTTGTATTCTTGCCAAGAGTTTGAGTCTCCTGTCTGTCCCTTAGCCTGGATCTGTCTGTATGTAATGTAGCAAAAGAAATTCTAAAAACATGTTATATCTCTTTCGTTTAATCTGCATAAATACTGAGGTGTAAAAATGACAATCTCTACTTTTGAACAGAGCTAGCCTAGCTGTTCCCAGTCTTTATGCTAATATAAGCTAAGCTAACTGTCTTCTGGCTCCAGCTATATATTTATACTATATTTTATATGTCACCATACCGAGTTGTATCAATCTTCTAATGTAACTCTTGACAAGAAAGCAATAAGCATATTTGCCCTATTTTGACCTTATCCATATTGTATTTGCCATGCGTGGATACCGTAGAAACTGCAAAACATGGGCAGTGAACTTCTAAAAATATTGTTATTGTAAATAATCCAGGATTTTTGAGAGTTGTCCAAGACCACTGTTCTGTTTGGCAAATAGTTTGCAGACCTGCACTGGTGTTTTGAGTGATTCTGTTGTCAGCAGTTGTTCTACTCTAAGAGGTGCAACAAAGTCTAATTAGACTTTCTTGGCAAAAGGTCTAATTATGCTAATTAAGTGAAAACACCTGTGTGAGTGAACAAAAGCTATGTAGGGGCTTCAATCAGCTACTCTTATGAGCAAAACCGAGCATTAATCATCATAATTAGTGCATTTTTAATCCCTCTTATTGAATATTCTATAGAGAAGTTTCCTATGTATAATGTGATGAAATAAGTTTATTGTAGTTTTGTAGTAAAGATAAGTAGTAAGAATATATAAAATTACAATGTGCTCATATTAAAAAATATAGATCAACCTACAGAAAAATGATCACCTTAATCTGCAGCTCCGCTCAGCTTTACGGAGCTTTATTGGGAGTTTCAGCTCATTTTTTACAGATTTGGTTCACTCTCCGCTCTCTCTTATATGGTGTAATTTTCAGTGAAAAAGTGAAAACCAACTGTACACTACCTGCTCAGCGCGAAATAGACACAGTTAGTGACTAGCTGGGGAACATAGCAGCTTTAGCAGCTAAAGAGACAAATATTTCTCTTATGAGTTAGTAGAGACCAAAACAAAGCTAATAGAGAGTGAATATGGGATGTACATTTATCAGGTGGACACAAACACAACTCCATATGAATGATATTATTGCTCCATAACTGCTGGATGTGTAAATAAGCAACTGTTTGCTAACAAGTTTACCGTTTCTTTTTGCTCTGCCCCCTTCAAACACATTACCAAATACCATCTAAGAATACAAAAAGTTACAACAACAAGAGGAAATAATAATAAACATACAAAGCTGCAACATGTAACGTAAATCTAAGAATCACATGTGAACAGAATATTATATAAACATTTCAAGCATTGAAATGTAATTAATATATACTTAATGGTTGGAAAATACAGCTCCAAAAACATTCAGTAATAGACACCACATGAAGTCCAAATCTCTTTAAGTTAGAGAAGGACAGAAATGGTGTAAATCATGTTTATAAAAAGACTGAACATAACAAAACGAGTCCTGAAGATGTTGGCAGCTCGTCTGACAGCGGCTGCCAGACTGCTGACATTATGATAAACTGTAAGTCCTGCATTTGCTGGGCCAAATACAATAACCTGACATTTCTACTCAAAAGTTGAGGAAAGTTGTAAGTGTTACAATTTCAAAGATGAAATTGTACAGGCAAATACAGCTGCATGTAATTGTATTTTATTTAAAACGTATGTGATAAAAGAGGAGCATAGATGATAAATATGATGAAACTCGAGGTACCCTTTAGCCTTAGGGTAAAAAGCAAGATTCTGAACAACAGAATATCAGACTACTGTCTATACAATAAAACTGTGTCTATAATTATTATGCTAATAAATACTACCATTAACAGACAGTATGCAGACCAAGCTGGAAATTAAAGATACCCTGTGGAGTTTCCTTTCAGTATTTCTCACCAGCACATTGAGACCTGACACATTTTATAGGGCTGTCCCCGACTCAAGATTTTCCATCAACTAGTAGTTGTTAGTTCAAGCCATTAGTCGAATAATCGCCGAACATTTACAGCCGCCTTTTAAATGATAACGGCAAAAGTGGTAATGATTCTGAATGTGTCGGAACAACCAGCAAGGTTATAATGCGTTTTCTTCCTTACTAAACAGTTGTTACGTTGATTTTGTTAATTCTTTGTAACCAGCATCTTAGCTCTGGCTTTTCATGTTGGCTAACACTCCTTTTCCCTTCCCTTTTTTTGCTTTGCATAGTTATATATTATTTTGCCGCATTACAGCCACCAACTGATTGATCAGTGGAATAATGTAACATAACGTCCTTGTATGTTATGGCTTATATGCGACACCAACCTCTCTAGCCAGCAGGAGTATGTGTTGCGTCACATGTGCGTCCTTGTGCATTTGCTATTAGATGCGACATTCAAACCAAAAGGGGATTTGATTGTCAGATGTTGCTCCACAGTGCCACATGTTCAAAACCTCCACAGCACTTCAGCACTATAATATTTTGTTGTTATTTTTTTTACAGAGGCAGGTGTGGTCGGGCTGTTCGGGGTCAGGTGACTATGTGGAGCTGCTAGGGGGGAATGGGGTGGACACCTCTAAGATGTTCCCTGTGGCTGACCTGTGTTTCTCCCTCAGTGGGCTCGGTGAGTCTGAGCTCCTCTAGTTTACCTCCACTGTGAATCTGTGATTTTTAACAGCAGGTTTCCATTAGAACAGTGACAATTTGTATTGGACAAGGACTATACTAATGCTATGCTGTGCTATGCTATGCTATGCTAAACTCACCATTTTTTAGTTTGATGGATTACAGTGAATTTTTAAACACAGTTTGGACTGAAAACCTTGTGTATTGAAAAAAAAGCATTTAAACTAAATTCCAGCATATTATGGTCCCACACATCAAAACACTGTTCAGCACAGTGTTAAATCAGCAGGGTCACGGTGAGGACAGATCAGAATATGCTTTTAATAATAGAAATTCTGACAGATGCTGCTGCAGATGAGTCCTTCAAAATAAGAACATCGCACATGGTGAAATCACTCAAATCAATCAACATATGTAATACATTTTACAACTTGATTTTCACCTAATTTCAGTATTACGAAAATAAACACAAATAAATTCCCATAATTTCTGATCGTTTGTGGTAGTGGTCCTACACATTTTGAATTGTAATATGCTATACCACACATCTTTACTGTACTATGTCATACTGTCTTTATAGATTTACCACAATCTGGGTGGATTGGTGCAATTCAAAACGCTTCACACACAGAACAAAGACACATACACTTGTCATAACCAGGCTAAGAAGGGCTGGCTAGAGAACAAGAATGCTCTGTATGTGCTCCAGTATAAAGCATCTGTTTTTCTCCTTGTCCCTTCAGCCCAGATGAAGATTGGTTGTGATAACTCGGTGGTGAGGCTGGTGTCCAGTGGGAACTATATCAACCGTGTTTCCTTCCAGTACCGACTATTGGAACACCGTGAGCTCCCCAAGACCCGAGAGAACAGTCTGGATAACTTCTGCGCTGTGGAATAAGATCACACACAGACACACAATCATCCATCTCTCTGTAAATACACCAATTTGACAAATGACGTCAATAAATATTTTGTATTGTTTTTGCCAAATATTTTATTTAGTGTCCGGATTATGTTAGCTTCGATCCTAGTGTATTTATTTGAGGAATTTTTAATTCATCTCAAATTTATGGATGATGGTGGATTTAATTGTTTTCTTTTTAGTCATTTGTCAGGAAAATCTGTGATACATTATATTTCTTGGCAAAAGCATTGATTTCAAACCTTCCCTCTGTTGTTCTAATATCAGTTTATTCCTCCATCTCCTGTTCTTTGGGAGGTTTTACATTGCTGCTGTCTCTTCTGTTTATATTGCCTTGACAATTTGAAAATAAATATGACTTGCATGATGAAGCATTTTTAATGTTCTGCTTTTTTGAGTCACTCTGTTTTTACGAGAATTATTCCAATTCATTACAGAACTGCATGTTCACTTGGTGTTTGTTTTACTAGGATGCTTCTGCAGGATCCATCCATTTTACCCACAACCACATAATGTTCTTGAGATCTGAAAACATGGGAATCTTCTTTAGTCTAGTCCAGCACTAAATACAATAGATGATAGTGTGAAACTGGGTTATTCATGTTTATTTAAGAGACAGAAGATTTATTTATTAAACCATAGGACATTTATGTAGCCATGAGTTGTCTTGAGCAATGGCGCTGGTTTTAATTAGTGCGTCTGTTGAGGGAGCAGAGATTGGTTGGTCAAGTTGGTCAAGAGATTTAAAGTCTTGCTTTTTTTAAACTATTGACACCACTTTGGTATCTCAGCAACTATTGGGTGGATTGCCATCAAATTTTGTGCAGACATTCATGGTACGCAGAAGGGATGATTTTGGTGGTGGTCCTCCTCCTCTGACTTTTCATCTAGTGCAACCATGAGGTGGACATATGTTGTTTTAAGTAAAATATCTCCATAACTACTGGATGGATTGCTATGCTATTTGGTACAGATATTCAGGATTGGGTCAGATTACTTTGAAATGTAGTCAGTTTTGGATGATTATCATTACTTATTTTTTTATAATCTGATTACGTAATCCCGATTTCCATTAGCCTCAACTGTACTTTGTGTTAAATTCTAATTAACAAATGTTAGCATACATTATACATGGTTAATAGCAGCATGTTAGCATTGTCATGGTGAGCATGTTAGCATGCTAATATTTGCATTTAACTCAAGCACCACTGTGCTTAAGACTCACATAACTGCTAGCATAGCTATGGACTCCTAATCTTGTTTAAATTGCAGGCTTTTGCTGTCCTATATCAATGGTGCACGGTTTTGATACATCATTTGAAAATAATATGATAAATGCTGTGCTGCTATTTGGACATTGAATGGATGACCTTGCCAATGAAGAGTTTGTTTCTGTGACAACACAGAAATGTTAATATTCATGCACAGACACATGCACATACACCTTAAACCAAGACTCCCTGAAAAATTAAGTCTAATTTTAAATCAAATGCTTGCAGTGTAGTCAGAGAAGATTCCATTTACATATACCCTGCATATACATGTGTGTATATGTACAATGTAAATGTGTATGTGTAATCCAATGTATTAAAAAATGTCCTTGGCAATCAGTATTAAGCAATGACGCATGCATGTCTCTCATTTTTTGTAATCCAATCTGTTCCAGAGACAAACTCTGAAATAGCTCTCGTAGTGGTTGGTCATTGCTCAAAATCATAATTAAAAAAGGCTTAATACTGAGAGCACATAAAACGCCACAATTTTCTAAAACTGTGAGAATACAGGTTTGCTATTGACCCCTCTTCATCACTGACTGTTGAGCTCTAATCTTTTACATACTGTACAGTTGTGGATCCTCAGCCTGAATGAATGTGCAGCTCTTAATGGGATTATCCCACAAGCCTCAGTGCTCTTATTCCCCTCGGCATCCTTCTAACTGGCTCGCTTTTGATCTTCTCCTTACTTGGAATTAATCTCAAACCTGCTCAACCATGATGATTCAATTAACCAGCGGATGTCTTTTTTCGCTCTGTGTATTGCAATTTTCAGTCTTCATTAGAGAATGAAACACACTTTGGATGCCATCGAAAGGGATAAAGTCTGATTATTTGTTTCTGGCACTGGGCACAGCAGTCTTGAATACTCTGTAATGTATTTATAGTGGTCTGTGATGGTGGATTTGAAATGAGTTTGTCACTTGTCGGGCCAAACGGGTCACAAGTCCTTGTGGATGAGATGGGACCCAGTACAGAAAGAGACATGCTTGCTTTATTAATAACATTGAAATGAGTGAAATAGGAAATGATGTTTATTTAAGATATTATTCACACTAGACTGAAATCTGTTACTGCTGTTCTATGTCATTATTTTATTATTCATTATTTCTTTCCAAAGAGCTTTTCTCCATCAGTATATTTTCTATGATAGTTTGTTTTGGCCTTTTATGCTTTAGGTTTCACTTAGTAACATTAAACATGTTTCATGAGGGAATCATCAATCAGACTTCACGAGGTCTGACTCTGGGGGTATAATTCTTGATTCTTTTGAATCAAAATCAGAATCAGAGTTTATTACATACAATGAATTTGTCTTCGTATATTGGTGCATGACAATAAACATAGTATGAGAAAAATATAAATAAAGATGAAAGCAAGTACTGCATCTAAAATTGACAATAACAGAATAACAAAAGACAATCAGTTGTTATTTTAAATGAAAGAACTTAGACTTTGTGCAGGTATGTGCAAAATATTGTCCGGGGAATGTGAAATGAAGAATAAACAATAAAGAATGTTTTTTAGTGTCCAAGATTAGATTAGTTAACTTTACTATGTATGTTAAACATAACTGACTCCCTCCCCTATAGTCAAGGCTAATATCAAACTAACATCTACTGCACAAAGGTTTCAGCTTCATAACTAATTTGTTCCTCAACATTTGTATTATGATGGCCGCACTGATAGCTCACCTGGTAGAGCTGGAGCCCTATGCACCAAGGCCCCACTGCAGCGGCCCAGGGTTTGAGTCCGATCTGTGACCCTTTGCAACGTGTCATCCCCTCTTTCTCTGCCCCTTTTCCTTTCACTCTTCAGCTGTCACTATCCATTAAATAAAATAAAAAATAAAAAACATTTGCAACGTGATCACAAAGTTGTTACTGAATAGTATTGTCATTGTCACATGTATGTGACCTGCCATGTTCTCACAGTGAAGTGGCATGTATGAATCCAGATGTTGTTATTGTTCAAACTTCAGGCTTTTTACAACCAGGATCATGTTTTCATAGTCATCATTTTTTTGGTTAAGATAACCTTCTACATGCCAACTTAAGCCATGGACTACTTAATATGAACCATGTCTGTAATGAATTCAAACTAAAATATCAGGGACAAAACAACTGTGATCTGGGTTGATACTTGAAATGATTGCAAATAAAAGTGGATCTTTAAACATTTCAGTTCAATTCAGTTCAATCTGGTGATGTTTTTGCCTGTTTAGGATCATTGCTATACATACATTAGATGATTGAGTGAGATCTATTTACAATTACTGCCCTTTGGCTGTTGCTGCATGCATGACTAGATCATCTGCTTTTAGCATAACATCAGTATAATTCATCAAGAAACGGTAATTATGGAAGAAAAAAGTACCCTATCCATATATTTGGTATAACATCTGGTGTTGGCAAACATACAGCAGATCAAATTTAATATTCTATATAATAATCCAGTAAATCAAAAATAACATGGTTGTGAGGATTAATATGTAAGAACAGCCAGACCAATCAAGCAGCATGATCCTTTTACCTGACAGCTTGGCTTATGTTGGAAGTTTGTGGGACAGGCAGCAAATAAACCCCCACTGATATGCAAGAGTATATGTTTTACGTGCCTGATGGAAAGAGTATAAATCAACTTTACTTCACTGCGAGATACATGTAGGTAATAATAATTTACATCCATAAATGGACACTCATTGATGAAAACACACACTTGTCCATTGTTTAATGTATGTAGCTCTGTGGTTCTCTGTACATCTTAAAGAGCATTTAATACGTCTATTTCACAAGTTAACACGAGCAAATGACCCAGAGCAAACACATCACAACGTATTACAAACAGCGAGTTATGCACAGACTTATATTTGATTTACTGTAATGTATCAGAGTCTGTTAATTACAGTCTTTAAAAATGTAGTTGTACCTATATGCACTCTCAATAAGTTGTACTGCATCTGTCCAGAGTCATCTGGGATAATAAGCAATTTCTCTCATTTTTCATTTTGATACTAGTCTGGTAATTTACAATATGATCATCAAGCTAAATTTACAGTAACTGAGAGTGGAGGTCCTGTGTGCAATAGCTCTTTTTTGTATTGACATGACTGATATAGAAAATATTGTTTTATGTGTGTTTTAGTGTGATTATGTTTGAAAGAATAACTTAATTGATCATTTTAGAATGATACAAAGTCCATTTGTGATGATTAAAGAATTTAATATTATATTTTATTAAATGTATTATTATAACCACAAACATCAGAGAATGACCTTCTCGATTGCTGTGAACTGTGATGAATACAGTTTACACACAGGGGAGTTGTTGCATAATGGTTAAACCCCAGTTGATTTGTTTTACCTTTTATTTTGCAGACCACATTACCTCAAGAGCAACTGAACAAAGGAGTGTATGTTTATTTATATGCAGTCACTGTGTAATAAACCACTTTGAATAGAGATCAGAGCTGATAATCAGCTGGCTGTAGTCTTGATCTGCTCTTTCAGAAGTGCAAACAAGGTCAATTGGTAATTTCTTGGTTATGACACTTTAAAAGATGTTCATTAATTATACAGTTGCAATATAATTACTCCAGTAAATCAAACTTTGACCCGTGGCTGCCATAGGATTGTAAACTTTAACAAATTAATCTGCCGCTTTTAATGTAGCATTTTCTTACTTTACCTCAGTCATACCTGTTATTTTGTACTCAACTAGATTATGATTATATTACATTTCCCTTTTTTCACATGCAAAACAAAATACACAATACCTAATCCTAACACTTACATGAAAACACTGATTACATAATAACATATGAATAATGGAAGACTCTCAAGAGGATTTTTTTTTCAGATTGAGTACTTTTAACTTGTTTTTAATGGCACATTTTATGCAACATTTGTTAACTTCTGACAACCAAAAACTGACACACACACACAAATAGTTTTGGAGTTGACTGGTTACAGGATACATATTTTATTTATCCACCCTAGAGTTTGTGTACCAACTTGAGATTTCTCCTATACTGCCCTCTACTGCCTGGTTTCATTATTTACACACAGTATTGTGCATGGTATCCTTTCCATTTGAAGTTGTTATTTCCTCCTTCCTAAAATATATCTTATATAAATAAGCTAGCTACAGTTTTCAAGTATGAATGAAGTTATGAATGTATTAGATTTTTTTTAAAGAACAAAAAAGACTTGCATTGTATGCAGTCTGAAGAGAAAACTGTTGGCAAAGCTGTTGTTTAAATATGAGCAAACATTGGAAAATTGTCATCAGTGTTTTCAAAGAAATTGGTATTTATTTTGTAACACCAGTTTATATTTGGTACATGCTGTATGTATAAATATTCCAAAATATACAGTATCTGTTAAATGTGGAAATGAGTAAAAAATCAGAGAACTTTTTTATTATTATTAAACTTTATTATTATTCAGAATAATAACAGATATACAGTCCAAAAAGCTACATTTCTTCAGTAGTTTACTAGGATTTTAGATTTCAAAGGTTTTCCTCAAGTAAGGAAATATTTCAGAGATCACCACTGCCTCAAAAGATTATGCTTTTACCACCTCTGAACACTCAAAGCGCCACAGCAGATTCCAGTTTTTACAGCATGAGAAATTAGGACATTAAGCTTCAAATTAGGAGTGTAATGATGGCTAAGGGCCCTAGAAGGAGAGGGACAAAGACTCCAGTGTGTTTTGCTCCATTACACAGGTCTCCAGCACAACATCTGACACCATCAGAATAAACATTATTGCACATATCACTTCTCATGCATTGTTTGGTGATCATATTTTCAGCAACTGCAACAGAAAAAGGTCCATTAAATAAGTTACAATTTGTAATAGCAGTAACAGAATTTCAGACCATGTTGTTCATAAGGCTAAGCAAAGATCACACTATATAGAACATATAACATTAAAGCCACATGAGGTAGTAAATTCAACTTACCAATGGTGGTGGAACAGCGGTCGTAATGGTCAGCACAGGACCATACCTGATTACAGGCGCCAGGGTTTGCACCCCAGCAGGTGAAACACTTTAACCCACACACTGCAGAAAAAGGAGAATGCAAAATGTTCACATAATTCGACAAAAATCATTTCTGCTTTAATTTCTGTGCTGATTGAGATAGGCATCTTTGCTCTTACCTGCTGGTAGCAACATACAGATGAACACCAAAGAAACACACGGCCTCATTTTGACTCTTCAAGTGAAAGCTTGTCAGAGCTCTTATGTCAAATGAACATTACCAACTCTCTTGTATGTTTTATAGCCTCACCACATTGGTTTTGTTCCAAAATACAAATAATATTTGTTTATACATTTGTTTCCAATTGGGGAGTGTCCACCAGCCATTACCATGTATAATGCTCATTTATTATACTTGTTCATGGCTGTTTACAGTGCCATCTATTCATCACTAATCCCCTTTCCTAAAGAATTCCAGTGTCAATACGGTGTTAAGAACGGCATATTTGTCCTTGTATTTGTGCAGGTAATTTAACCGAAACACTTCTGAGAGACTGAAGTTGCCCCACCTGAAGATGTCAATGTGTAACTAATCAGTATTTATACATCCAAAAAGAGCTGCAGTGACCTGGCAGAATATTCATACCACAGATGTATAAATTGCCTGGTGAGGGCTTCCTTGAAGTACTGCATACATGCTGATGATACACTTTAAGTGGTTTAAAATCCCAGTTAAATACCAACATTGGTTCTCTGTGAAGAGTGATCTGACTATTCACTATCCCTGCTCAGAAAATCCAAATTTAGTGTCCTCCTTCAGAATGTAATAATTGCAGCATTAACGCTTTGCTAACACACACTCATACACACACACTTTCTGAGCTCTTTAGTGTAGATCTCTAATAGCATTAATAGGTCTACGTCATTAATCTGCTGCCAGCAAAGGAGGAGCAACTCAGAAAGACTCTCTGAGTAGCAGGATTTAAAAGGACCATTCACCCAAATAATTAGAACACTAATTTCTCATGGCAGGATGCCTTTATTTATAAAGTATAATCCCCACTACTCCTTGTCTAAGCATGTAAAATGAGATAAAAGTGGCTAAGTTATAGTGTTAAGCAGCCACCTCTGTTTGGCTTGTCTGGTGTCTGTCAGTAATGAGCTTGGCCTGTTACCCCTGGATTAAAGGCCTTGTACAGAAGGCAGGTGAGGTCTGAATGTCAGGTTAACCACCAGCTGCTGAGGAGTAATTCATCCCTTGGGCACATTTTTTTTTTTATTCCTGATGGTATTTTCTTTTTCTCTTTGAGAGTTACTAGACAGATAAACAATCTTATCATCAGAATAATATGAACCTATTTTCTGCAGCAACTTTTATTCAGTGTTAGTTATTGAGTTATAATGCAGGACAAGCAAAGGTTCAGCACTTCATTGCAAAGGTCGTGACATGATTGTCCAATATAGCTCCATCTTATTAAGTCTGGCAGTCGGCCATGCCCTGATAACAACATCTCTGTCTGAGCCAAAGAAGGAACTAGGAGAGCAGTGGGAGGTCAAGAAGTGGTGTGAGTGTGTCCTGTACTTTGTGTGCACTTGAGTTGTGCTTTCTTTCCTGTTTGTAGCTCTTCTTTATTATCTTGTTTTGTATTTGTTTACCAGTAATATGGATAGCTAATACTTTCTAATCTAATCTAACATTTTGTTTATCACATTTCAGTGTGCTTTTAAGGAAAATGAACATGGCTTGGTTGGATTGAATCCACAAGAAGTGACAAAAGAAGTATTTAGATCTTATACTTGAGTCAAAGTAATAATAATACAAGAATGTAAAAATACTCTATTACAAGTAAATGCACTGCATTCACAACCCTACTTAAGAAGAAGTACTGACAGCAAAATGTACAAAGTACTGGTACTCCAGAAAAATGTCCCCTTTGAGTGATATTATATTACTGATACTAAGGCATTAGTGTGGAAGCTGTATTTTGGTATTGTAGCAAGTCAAGGTGGAGCTAATTATTAGGTGGACCATAGATTATTCAAGGGGTAGGAAAAAAGATAAACGTGTTTATTTTTGGACTTTTCGCTAATGTTTGATTTTTTTAATATAAAATATTGGATAATTTGGCCTCAAATTGTAATTTTAATGAAACCATCTGAGAAGTTTTGAGGGAAACTTACAACTTACAGATATCTCAAGCATGATGAAGCACCCCAACTAGACAAAAAGCCCCAAAAAGAAAATAATATTTAACTATGCACTCTGTAGGACTTTTTATGTAACTACTAACTATAGCTGTCAGATGAAGTGGAATAGACAATATTTTGCTCTAAAATGTCGTGCAGTACAAGTATAAAGTAGCATAAACTAGAAATACTCAAGTTAAGAACAAGCACCTCAAAATTCAATTTAAGTATTATAATGGTGTAACTGTACTTAGTTACTTTCCACCACAGGTTTTATAGCTGAAGCAACATCTTCCCTACAATGTTAAGAACTTTTGTTACAGAGTTTTCTGTAATGAAGCAAACAGTGAATATCATATAATATAAATACAAA